GGCTTCAGAGTATCCACTATTTCCTTCCTACCTTCTTTCAGCATCCTAGGATGCAATCTATCCTGCCCTGGACATTGATCCAGCTTCAAGTAGGTCAGTCCCTCCAGTACTTTCCTCTGATTGTGCTTACTTTATCTAATATTTCATACTCTTTGTCTTTAATTAGAATGTCTGCATCATTCCTCTCCAGAGACAAAATATTCTCTTGGAACCCTGCCCATACTTCCTGCATCTGTGGACAAGTTACCATATACATCTCAGCTAGGCCCAACTCTTTCCTTAGTCATCCTCTTGCTCTAATAAAGCATCTTTGCATTTTCCTTAATTTTACCAGCCAATTTTTAAGATATCCTTTCTTTGCTTTCTTAATTTCCTTTTATTACTTCATCCTTGTACTTTCTATACTCCTTTGAGCTTCTATAGTTGTTTTGTTTTTAAGATTGTCATAAGCTCCATTTCCCTGCTTTGTCTATGCTTCCAGATAATCGGGATTTTTGAATTTGGCTGTACCCACCCCTTTTCTTTGTTTACAGTGCGCTCTTGAATGCCTCCCACTGATATTGTTACAAATAACTAACCAGCCTAGATCCCCTCTCAGCTTTGTGAAGTTGGCCTTAATCCCAAATTTAGAACATTTACTTCTATCTTTGACCCTTTGAAAATAATGCTAAATCTAACCGTAATTATAATCACTATCTCCAAAATGGTCACCCACTGATACACCTGCCACCTGCCCAGCTTCGTTTCCACAGGCAAAACCTAGAATCGTTCCCCCTCTCAAATCTTATTTCCTTCAACAACCTGACTGAAAGCGCTATATCCAGGGAGTTGTCATCCTTGCCTCTCTTTAAACCAAGTTTACATTATAGCAATGATATCCTGCTGCTATGGGTCAATTATTGGCTTTATTCTGTATTTTCCTTGTATTTACATACCTTTTAAAACTTCCTTTTTCTGTGGTGTACATTTTATTGACCTCTGCTGCTTCTGTCTTTCAGAGTAACTCATTAAATTTCTGTCTCCCGATCCCTGCTCTGAACCTGCCTCCAGTTTCCCATCCCACTGCTTTTCAGATGTAGACCTTCTGGCTTGTACAGTTTCCATCTTCCCCAAAACCAGTCCCAATGTCCCAGAAATCTGACACCCACCCTCCTACACCAACTTTTCAGTACATGTTTAGTGACTCAGTTCTCCTATTTCTGTGATCACCAACACATGGAACTATTCAATCCCAACCCAACTTCTAAGGATAACTTTGGATTGGATTTCTTCGGTATTATTGTAACAAACTGTTGCTTAGAAATAGGGAGAAGTGAATAATTGGAGGAATTTGAATGTCTGGAGGGGATTCTGTAAAGGAAGTTTGAAAACCTCTGCTATGATGGAATGTCTAGAACTGTATGTGATACGCTTACTAGTGATCTCACAAATTCAGTGCTCTCCAAGACTTGATTAAAGGGCTTTGTCGTCAACTCCATTTTTCTCTCCACAGAGATGCTCCCAGATCTGCCCAGTACTTGCAGCATTTTATTTATAATTCAGACTTCTGTCTTTGTTTTCCACTGCCTGTTTTTGTACTCTGTATCTATGTAATATAATGTTGAAAACTAACAATTTTAATAATAATTGGCATCCTTTTGGTGTCCAAACATTAGACGTTGAATTAGGGGAGACAGTGATGTTGTGGTAGTGTCACTAGACTGGCAACAGAGACCCAAATGTGGGAATATTGTTGATGAAATTTTACTTAGTTTACTTTCAGTTTAAAACAGTAGAGACCCATGTTCTTAGGGCATGGATTCAGATGGCAGCTGGTGGAACAAAATTCAAGATTTGATTAATGGAACCTGAAAGCTGATCTCATGGTGGGAACCATGAAATTATCATAAAAACTAATTTAGTTTGATTAGCAGATGGGAATCTGCAGTCCTTACCTGGTCTGGTTTTCACTGAGGCTTTAACACCACCTTACAACTCAACCACTACATCCAGAATGACATGGAGCACTACCATCTGCAAGTCCCCTCCAAGCCTCACGCTGTCCTGACTTAGAAATCCTGAGTCAAAATCCTTCAACTCCCTCACTCACAGCATAGTGAGTGTCCTTACACTCCAAGGACTACAGTGGTTCAAGAACTTGAACACAGTTAATGATGGGCAATAAATGCTGGCCCAGCCAATACTGCCCACAAGCCATAATTTTTAAAATATAATTTAGCAGTTCACTAATATGTGGCACGCTTTACTCAGTACAGCCAACAACTTATGTATCTTTTCCCCTACATTACTCACAGCTCTTTATAGAGCCATTCTTGTGTGCAATAATTTAAACAATGTGACCTCAAAGTTTGAAGGGTGTTTGATATATTTTTTTGCTAATAATGCCCCTTCCTAACCTAAAGCTTCTGTGCCCAACTGTGTGTAAAGAAAACTGAGCTCCTTGTAGCCATCCTGAAATCAATGAGGTTGTAATTATTAGTAATACCAAGTATCATAAAGGCTACAGTCTGCAAAGAATTCCAGTACTGTTTATGAAATTGCAGTTAGTTCTCTAAATAAGGGGTGGGAGTGATGTCTCTGCCCATGTAACATACACTCTTTGAACTGTGCTGCAAGCCATTTCATCTGCATTTAAAATTCTGTTACTTCCTTCCAAATTCAGATTTGGAACAGGAGAAAGCCTTAATCCCTGGAACCTATAAATACCATTCACTCACATCATGGATGATCTGTTGTCTGAGTGCCTTTTGCCCTGTATTCCTTAATACATCTGGCTCAACTACATGTCAACTCCTGTGTATTCATCTCAGGATTTGTAAAAAAAATTGCTTTTCCAGCAAGCTTGATTTGTTCCTTTGCATCCTACAGTTTAGGCATTTCTTATTGGGATGCATGATGCTGACCTTTACTTTTCTATCACCCCTGCAATACTCCCTGAACTCGTGGTTCTCCAGGGGCTGTAGGGGTTAGTCCAATTTGCAAGCCACTGTCATTGCAATATCACAAAAAAGGCCCAAGGAGAACACAGGCCAAAACTCTCATCTCTGTCACTGGTGTGATATCACATACTGGCTCCCATGTACATGGTGAGAATTTTATTCACTCTTGGACTGTGGGCATCACTGGTTGGGTGCGGCATTTATTACCTGTCCCAAGTTGTCATTGAGAAAGTGGGGGGTGAGCTGTCTCCTTGAACCGCTGCAGTCTATGTGCTGTAGGTAGACCTTAAATACCCTTAGGGAGGGAATTCCAAAATTTTCACCCAGCGATGGCAAAGGAACGATGATACATTTCCAAGAGACGTATCCAGAAAATATTGTCAAGGAAATGTAACAAATTTTATATTTCATGGAGGGTGCTTGAATGTGCTGGTGTGATCCAAGTTCAGGTAAGGTCAAAGTAAAGGTAAGTTGCCATAGTCTGAATGGTGGTCATTCAACCAGAGGGTCACCATGCCTCAGATGAGGGGAGATATTGCAGAGAGTCCTTCATGATAGCATCAGCTGGTGTAGCAATTGTACCCACTCTGTTATTACTCTGCATTATAAACCAACCATCCTGACTACCACACCAAGATCAGGTAAGTACCCTTCTCTCAGCCTCATTGAACTTCGGGTATTTTTTCTGGAGCTCAAGTCTGGTCCTTACTGGCACATACACAGCCATAGAGCCCCGTTACATTTGTTGGTTCTGCCACTCAAATGATTGGAGTCTGGAGGTGCATTCAACCCTGTTCCAACATTTGACTAAGTCATAGCTAGACTGAAAAAGCTAAAACTAATCACCTCAGTTCTTTTAACTCTTAATCCCCCTACCCAGAAATATCTATTGCTGAGTTTTGAAATTCATCTTCTCATGGGCAATTAGTGAAGGAAAAGAAATCTTCCAACTGTGCTCTGCAGCAGCTCCTGGCGCAGAAGTTGTAGTATTTTAATGTAGGTCCTTTTTCACTTCGACCATTTGCTGGAAGAGGAACAGGAGAGAGATAAGGAAAGGCACAGGAAAGCATACACGAGAGAAAGGAAAGCAAGGAGAGGAGGTATCTTATAGCCTTAAAAAGGAGCAGAGGCAAAGGGAAGCAAACACTCAGTTGAAAGGAGGGACAGGTCACTTGGATGGGTTCAAAATCTGGGAAGGAGAATTATTGGTCAACAGAATAGAATTCAGCAGGTGGTGCATTTCTCCATGGTAATGCAGTTTATTTTCCATTTTGAATCATATTTATATAAATGACAAAAGACTTCAGCTCAAAAGATGGCTGGTTGCCTTTCAGGTTTTTCTCCCGCCTTACTATTTCCAAAGATATGCCTGTAATGTTTTTCCCTGAAGCAACACATTCCTGGCAAAGGTTAGCAATTTTAGTCTTAAATTATTCAGACTGCTGGATATGTAGGAGTTGCACAGCAGAGTATTACACAAAGCACTAGTAAAGTGCTGGAAAGTTCCTCTAACTCAGTGCTGATGATGAATAGAAATCAGCTACTTGTTAGTTATATCTCACACATACACCTGCATTTGCTCAACATGTCATTCTTCTCCCCCCTGTGTTACATCAGTGACTGACACCAACAAGCATTACAGCAGCACAGCAGGATGATGACAACAAAGAATCAGCCAGGATCTTACTCAACAGCACAGTAAGCATTAAGGTCTAATTTTCCTATTTTTTTCAGCTCATGTATTCAATTCAGTTAGAGTGTTCAGAGACTAGATTGGGGACAGTGAGGTGAGGTAGGTTGCCTCTGACTCCTCCCACTAGTACACAGCCTGTTTATGATGAATATTGAAGTCTACCCTCAGTACTCCTTCCAAGTGGTGTTTAACATGAAGGTATACTCCTTCATTTGCTGAGGGAGGGCAGGAGCTGGTTTCCATGGCTACAATTGATCTGATGTCTTTAGGATCCAGAGTTAACGTTGAGGTCATTAAAGGCCAGTCCCTTAGGGGTTATTGCCAACAATTAGCAAACCTTCAGCAGAGCATTTAAAAAAAAACACCAGTTTTCACATTGCACTTTATTATCGTTCAAAGACAGAGTATAAAGTACGTACTAGCTTTGAACATAAACTTCTAACCATTTCAATGCAGGAACAATTTTATTTTTAAGAACCAGACTGAATTTTACAGTTTTGTTGAAAAAACAAAATTCTGTCGCATTTCAACATCAGGCTGTTTTAAATACCAGTGCACAGAGCTCTCTGCAGGCCATGATTTTAAAATTTTCACAAAAGATGGCAAAATATATTTTAACACAGTAAACATTTGAAAACATCTACCTGGAAGAGGTAAGTCATTTCACACCCAAAGTTAGCATGTACTCTAAGCAATTTAATGCACATAAAATAATGATGAGTCACCCATGTGATTCATACACATGATAAAATGAAACACTTTCAATAGGTTAGCTTCATAAACGTCCCTTCTAGTGGTCCAGGATTCGCAGATTACCAGAAACAATTTTATTTTCCAATACAGCTCCAGGAGGTATGTCAATCCTATCACCATGATTTGCAATGATTATAACTGTTCCCTAAATACAGAAAATAGATGTAATTATAGATGCACAAGCTAAAAATCAAATTATCCAAACTATCTTAGCAGTAATCATTTTAAAAAGGCCATCAATAATATTCTGAAAATATTGTTACATCTACCTCACTATGCCATATTAGGATTCTGGTTTTACCTGAACAGCACACTTCACAGGTACATTTACTTCCCATTCCCAATGTGGTACTATGTCTATTTATATCTATGATACCCCAAAATTTCTCAATCCCAAGCTCTGACATTAAGTTACCATTGTTTTCTTTCTGTAATATCTACAATATATAAATTATTTCATGCAAGATTAAAATTAAGATCCCATCGTCCTTCAGATGGATAGAAAAAGTCCCACTGCGCTATTCACATTGCAGAGAAGTCTCCTTTGGGATCTTGACCAGTAATATTCTCATCCAACATGACGTCCAAAATAATTGTTCACCTACAAATCAACTTACTGTATAAGACAACCCCATTTCTCCAGCCCTAACACTACTGTTTTTGCATCTTGTCAATATATAGCTCTGTTTTTGAGCCACATTATACTCACATTAGTAGTCTGCCTGAATTTAAATCACCCAACAAATGTTTCTATTCATTCAGATGTAGGCTTCACTCGCTGACCAGCATTTATTGTCCATCACCAATTATCCAGTTTTACTTACTGATATAAAGGTACTAAAGTCTGTGTTGCAAAGGTACATGGGTTTAAATCATATCCACTGTGTCTGATGACAATGACATTTAAATCGCAACCACCCACAGACAGTTCACTTTAATACTACGTACAATTTGACCCAATTTTTGAAGGGATTGAAAAAGATCAACGTATACATCAACAGTAATTTCCGTGACATCTCTTTATAGCTGGTGTTTATTTTTCTAAAAACCAGAAGCTACGCAATTACTTTGTCTTCTAATGGAAGGAAAACTGATTTGTCATAATTTAAAATCAACAACTCACCTGCCTAGATTGTTTCGAAAAGAAATACAGCAGTTGCTGTAGGTTATGGTATTACAATGTCACTGATTAGAAAATTCTGTAGCAGTAACTTAGAGGAATTTAACACAATTAAATACAAAGTTTCAACACATTTAAGTCCTTTACTGACCTTCAATATAACATGCTTCCCAAAAGTGACATCTCCTGAAACAGTAAGGTGATCCAGTTCCAGTATATCTGGTATACTCTCCAGTCTCTTCAGGTAATCTTGTACCTGGTCAAAAATAATCAAGTCTTTGAGTTGCTTTCATATATAATCTGTTGTATTTGGCAGTGAACACACAGCAGGGTTATAAACCCTCTCCATTAAACTAGCCCTAGGTCAACAATACCAGTATTACTACAGCAAGCTAGAGTACCACTGAACCCGATACCCATCTCTGGTACCAGATTAGATCAGTCTCTTCTAGAAACTGCAGAACCTGCTCTTAGAATCACAGAGCTTTGTTTTATGTTCAGATTTCCTCGATAAAATAAATGCTAATCTATAGCTGAAATACTCAGTGACCCTAGTCAATTTACAAGGTGACAGTTAAACATCAGGTATTGCACCATGGTCAGTCATCATATACTGGCAAAATAAAAACTGAAATAACTATGGATGCTGTAAATCAGAAACAAAAACAGGAATTGCTTAAATTGCTCAGCATATTCCGAGGAAACCTTCCTACTCCCCAGCCAAATTACCACCTCCTCGGTGGTTAATTGCAGTGAGCTCTGTGAAACTGAGTCAACCAATAAGGAAAACCCAAAGTTTAATCTTGGTTTATTACTGGTTCAGCCTGTCTCAGCCCAGAATGTACAAAGGACATTCCTAATTAATTCCAAAGTCTTTGTGATTAGGAATGTGCAGAAGGGATTCACTTAGAAAATCTTTTTATTTATTTGTCATTATCCAGTTATCCTCCATTCAAAAAGGGTGTTTATGCAGAAATCCAATCAAACAAAGGTGACAGACCTGAAACATTAATTCTGTTTCTTTCTTCACAGACTACTTGACCTGCTGAGTGTTTCCAGAGTTTTAAAATTAGGATTGGACAGGACCTTCCGTTCTATACAGCTGACAGCAGCTGGTTTATGATGCCACTGAACCAAACAAATCTTGGTACCAAGAACAATAAATTGAAAACCTGGGGTAGTAGGAACTGCAGATGCTGGAGAATCTGAGATAACAAGGTGTAGAGCTGGATGAACACAGCAGGCCAAGCAGCATCATAGGAGCAGGAAGGTTGACATTTCAGGCCTAGACCCTGATGAAGCCTTCCTACTCCTATGATGCTGCTTGGCCTAATTGAAAACCTGGGTCAGGATTCAAGTGAGTTCGTTAAACTTTGAAGGTTGAATCTTGATATAGGAAATGACCAGTATTTATACTAATTAAAACGATGGTTTTTAAAATAATTACTAAGCACTTGAGTAATATTTTCCAATTTAGTAAACAAGTAAGAGTTGGCACTTAAAGCAAATTAGATCAGCAGGGCTTCCTGATTCTAATCATGTAAAAGCTGAACATGATACTGGATTTAAAGTGGCACAAAGACAAATGATGGTTCATTGTATTTAACTGGCATCTACAGAACACATTACCTTAGTAAAGGAGCTGCCCAACTTGACCAAAGGTACAGTTCGGAATTCTCTTTTTTCACTCATTGTCAGGGATCCTGCATTAAGGCTGTACAGGTTGGACATCACCAGCATCAGGTCAGAGGTGGTCTTCACAGGCAGGAAGCGGCTGCGTGGCACATTAATACCTAGAGCATTTTCAAAGCACTTAATGGCAGCACCAACAGCTGTCTCCAGCTGAATCACATTTCGGCCATCATCCAACGTCTGTTGAAAAGGACAATTTATATTTAACTACAACAACCTGAAATTAGAATAATTCCCCACAGCATTAAACAAAACTTAGTCAGAGCTGTACAGCATGGAAACAGAACCTTTGATCCAATTGGTCCATGCTGAACAGATATCCTACATAAATCAAGTCCCATTTGCCAGCATTCTGTCCATGTCCCTCTTAAACCAGTCCTTATCCAGATGCCTTTTAAAATGTTGTAATTGTACCAGCCACCATCACTTCCTCTGGCAGCTCATTCCATACACACACCACCCTCCGTGAAAAATTTGCCCCTTATGTCCCTTTTAAATCTTTCCTCTCACCTTAAACCTATGAACTCTATTTTTTGGAACCCCCACCCTCCCCCCCACCATGGCAAAAAGATCTTGACCCTAACTATGCCCCTCATGAATTTATAAAACCTCTATAAAAGGTCACCCCTCAATTTCCAACACTCCAGAGAAAATAGCCCCAGCCTATTCAGCCTTTCTATTCAAACCCTCCAATCCTGGCAACATTCTTGTAACTCTTGTGACCCTCTCAAGTTTAACAACATCTTTCCAATAGTAAGGAGACCAGAATTGAACACAGTATTCCAACAGTGGCCTAACCAATGTTCTGTACAGCTGCAACATGACCTCCCAACTCCTATACTCAATGCACCAACCAATAAAGGTTAGCGTTTTCACCACCCTGTCTATCTGCAACTCCACTTTCGAGAACTATGAACTTGCACTCTCAGGTCTCTTTGTTCTGCAACACTCCCCAGGATCTTGCCATTAAGATGTGTAAATCCTGCCCTGATTTGCCTTACCAAAATGTAGCACACTTCACATTTATTTAAACTACATCTGCCAATCCGCTGCCTTTTGTCCCATCTGATCAAGATCCCATTGTACTCTGGAGGTAACCTTCTTCACTGTCCACTACACCTCCAATTTTGGTGTCATTTGCAAACTTACTAACCATACCTCCTTTATTCACATGCCAATCACTTATAAGTCTGACTTGTAAATGTCACCAAGCACTAATATTATTGTGATCTTTAGAAGCAGAAGTTAATATCAAAAGAAGCTGCATAATTGATATGTAGAAAATAGGAGAAGTGGGGCATTCGACTCCAGCATTCACTGTGATCATAGCCGATCATCCAACTCAGTGCCCGTCTCCATTTTGTCCCCATAACCTTTGATCCCGGATGCCTTAAGTAGTATGTTTACGTTCTTGAAAACATTCAATGTTTCGTTCTCAATCTCTTTTTGCTCAATGCACTCTGGATGAAACTTCTCTTCATCTCAGTCCTAAATGGCCTATCCTTAGGCTGGGACTTCTGGTCCTAGATTCCCCAGTCATCAGGAACATCTTTCCTGCTCTTGCCATCTAATCTTTTTATAACTTCTACGAGATCACCCTGTTCTTCTAAACTCAGGTAAATATAGTCCTAACTGATTGAGTCTCTTTATACATCAATCCTCCATCCCAGGAATCAGTCTGGTAAACTTCTGTTGCACTCCCTCCATAGAAAGAACATCCATCCTCAGCAAAGGAGACCAAAACCGCAAACAATATGCTAGGTATGGTCTCACCAAGGCCCTGTACAATTGTAGCAAGATATCCCTATTCCTGTACTTGAATCTCTCGCTTTGAAGGCCAACACACCGTTTGCCTTCTTCACTGCCTGCTGCATTTGCCACTGTTTTCCCAAGTGCTCTGCATCTAAATCTTTTACAAAGACACTCAAGCATTTTCTTGAGTACTATTGCCAGGCTAACAGGTCTGTAATTCCCATTTTCTTTCTACCCCTTTTTTAAAAAAACATACAGGGGTTACATTCGCTACTCTCCAATCCACAGGAATTGCTCCAGAGTCTGTATGAGCAGACCAACAATGCATCCACTATTTCACTCTGGGGTGTAGATTATTGTCTTTTAATCCCATCAACTTCCCATTTCCATACTAATTCTGATTTTCTTCAGTTCCTCCGTCTCAGTAAACCCGGTGTTCCCCAACTTTCTTGAGACATTATTGGTGTGCTCCTGTATGAGGGCAGAACCAAAACAATTTAATTGATCTGCCAACTCTGTCCCAGTTATACCTTCCCCTGTTCCTGACTGTAAGGGACCTATATTTGTCCTGATTAACCTTTTTCTCTTCACGTACCTACAGAAGCTTTTAAAATCAGTTTGTACATTCCCACAAGCTTAATCTCCTACTCTATTTTCCCCTTCTTCAAATCAATCCCTTTGTCCTTCTTTGCTGAAATTTAAACTGCTCCCAATCGTCTGGTTAATTTGTGTGTCTTTCCATTGGATCCAACACTATCCATAACTTCCCTCGTCAGCCATGGTTATGCCACCTTTCCTGTTTTGTTTTTGTCTCGGACAGGAATGAATAATTTTTTTGGTTCCTCCGTGTACACTTTAAATGCTTGCCATTGCCTATTCACCATCATCCCTTCAAGTAACGTTACCAATTCATCATAGCGAGCTCTACCTCATACCACGGTAGCTTCCTTTAATTAGATTCTAGATCCTAGTCTTAGAATCAACTCCATCACTCTCTATCTTAAATGAAGAATTCTATCATGTTATCGTTACTCTTCTGAAAGAGGCTGCCCAAACTAGACTGCCAATTATTCCATTCTCATTACGGAATCCTCAGTCTAGGATGTAGTGTTCTCTGGCTGGTTCCTCAATGTATTGGTACAGAAAACCAACAATAACATGCTACGATCACCAAAACATCCTGAAGGGCTTCAAATCAATGAATTACTTTGAGAATACTCATTGTAATACAGCAGGATACAAGAAAGAGAGAGATAAATGACTAGTTAGTTGGTATTTGGTGTTTTTTTAATTTGCAGGATGTGATGGTCAGGACAATCACCCTATGATCTGCCTGTACTGCTTGCAAAACAAAACTTTTCACTGTTCTAAGGTACATGTCACTACAATAAATCAGATCAACTGGGAAAATTCCTCTGCCCTCAAGTCTCTTGCATTCACCTTATTCTGGCATCTCATCAGAAAGACAGCACCTCCTCAGTACTGTTCAGAGAGGTGGTAAATGCTAATGTCCTGGTGTGTTTCAATGCACAACCGGTCATGATGGAAGATAGTTCACTAGCACCAAACCAAAATAAGATGTATCTGTAAGTCAGCCTGACACAAAAATCAGCATTTAGTAAAAGTGACCTTTTTTTGAAAAAAGGTCACGAAATGTGTTACTGTAATGTTACGAAACAACTTGAAATTCTATTAATTTTAAAATATTTCAAAGTAGAAAGTGAGGGAAAATTACATAAAAGCTATTAAAGAACATTGTTATGAAAGAATTACTATGAAAACTTGATGCTTAGTTGTATTAATCCAGATGGTAGCATTGAAGGATGGGGAGTGTGGAGGAAGGGGTGAAGTCACTGAGACCTACAGCATAGGAAAAGGCCCTACAGCCCATGAATCAGCACTAATCAGAACCCACCACCTATTTTAATCCCATTTTCCAGCACTTGGCCCATAGCCTTATATTCCTTGGCATTGCAAGTGCACACCTAAATCCTCCTTCAATGTTATGGGTTTCTGCCTCTACACCCAGCTTTCTTCAACAGTTCGGCTGGATATCTTAAGAGTCATGCAGCTATTTGGTGGAGTAAGTAGAGTTCAGTGTTATGGTACAAAACAACGACCTACATACCCGCAAGTGTATTTATAAATGATATTACCTTTGGGTTTAAAATGATTTCCATGTTAATTGCATTTTCCTTTTGTAGCCTTTCAATTGCAGCCAAAGAAATCCACAGGTTATTGGTATTGAATATCTTGAACTTGGTGACTGATTTAAACTCATCAACATGTGCTTTTGGCACTTGAGCTATTTCCAACAGTCGGAGTTTACCGTCATACTGAATAAGGGTTCCTCCCTGTGGAGCAAAGACTTGATCAGAATCATGCCACTTACGCACAACAGACGACTCAAATTATTTTCTTTCTATTCTTGAAGAATAGAAAACACCAATTCCATAAAAATATAACCATGACAAACTCAACACAATATGAGAGCAAGCATGAATCAAAATCAGTGTTGAGATTGCCTGCAACATCTTCAGCCTGATCGAGAAATGCAACATTACCTTGCTTATTTCAAAGCAGTTAAGATTACATTTTACCACAAATAATTAATTCAGTGCTAGTTATATGGCAAGTAAGCAACATGAATTTGGAAATAATTAACCATTTGAAATATTGAACAATGATTCCCTCAGGTAGTGAGCACACTGGCTGGGCCAACCTTTATCCATTTTGGTCACAGGAATAAAAAGGAAACTTATTCAATGGACAGAAACTTCAAATGCTTTGGTGCAGAGGGATCTGGGTTGTACTCGTGCACAAATTGTAGAAAGCTATATGCAGGTAATAAGGCAAATGGAATTTTGGTATGTATTGCTAAAGGAATGGAGTGTAAAAGAGGAGAAGTGTTGCTGCAATAGTACAAGGCATTGATAAGACAGTGCCTGGAGTAGTGTGTATAGTTTTGGTCCCCTTACTTGAGGAAGGATGTAATTACATTTGAAGCAGTTCAGTGAAGCTTCACTAGATTAACTCCAGAGATAAAAAGGCTTGTCTTACAAGGAGAGATTGAGCAGTTTAGGCTGATACTCTCAAGTTTAGAAGAACGATAGGACATCTAATTAAGGTATACAAGCAAAGGGGATTGACAAAGTAGACATACAGTGGATGTTTCCCCTCGTGGGACAATATAGAACAAGAGTTTTAGGCTAAGGGTGGCAGATTTAAAATAGAAGAGAGAAATTACTTCTCTTAAAGGGTCATGATCTATGCCGACCAGATATCCTAAACTAGTCCCATTTGCCAGCATTTGGTCCATATCCCTTTAAACACGGCCTATTCATGTACCCATCGGAATGTCTTTTAACTGTTGTAACTGTACCCACGTCCACCACATCCTCTGACACCTTGTTCCATACACATGCCACCCTCTGCATGAAACAGTTGCCCCTTATGTCCCTTTTAAATCTTTCCTCTCAACTTAAACCTACATTCTTTAGTTTTGGACTCACTTATCCTGCGGAAAAGACCTGGCTAATCTCCCTAACCATATCCCTCATGATTTTATAAACCTCTATAAAGGTCACCCCTCAGCCTCCAGTGCTAATAGCCCCAGCCTATTCAGCCTCTCCCTATAGCTCAAACCCTCCGACCCTGGCAACATCCTAGTAATTTTTTTTTCTAAAACCATTTCAAGTTTAATAACATTTCCGATAGCAAGGAAACTAGAACTGAATACTGTAGTCTAGGAGTGACCTAACCAATGTCCTGTAGAGCTACAACATGATATCCTAACTCCCACACTCAATGCACTGAACAATGAAGGCTAGTGTACCAAATGCCTTCCTTGCCACCCTGTCTACCTGAGACTTCACTTTCAAGGAACTATGCACCTGCACCCCTAGGTTGTTGTTGTTACTGCCTAGGGCACTAATATTTTGGTAAGGACTTACACAGCTAATGCAACACTTCACATTTATCTAAATTAAACTTCATCTGCCACTCCTCAGCCCATCGGCCCATCTGATCAAGTAACTTCTTCACTGTCCACTACACCACCAATTTTGGTGTCATCTGCAAACTTACTAACCATACCTCTTATGTTCACATCCAAATAATTTATATAAATGACAAAAAGCAGTGGACTCAGCACTGATCCTTGCGGCACACTGCTGGTCACAGGCCTCCAGTCTGAATAAAAGCCCTTCACCACCACCTTTTGCCTACTACGTTCAAATCAATTATGTATCCAATTGGCTAGATCCCCCTGGTTTCCACGTGATCTAACCACTAACTAACCTACCATGTGGAACCTTGTCAAACATCTTACTGAAATCCATATAGACAATATCTTCATCATCACTTTGTCAAAATATAGACATGGTTATAGGTTTAGAAGGTGCTACCTCAGGACCTTTCAGCAAATTCCTACACTATCTTGCAGATAGTCACACTACTGCTAATTAGTGCCAGTGGAGGAAGGTATAGATATGGTGCCAATCAATGTTGTTGGAGCTGTACCCATCAAAGCAAGTGGGTAGTATTCCATCAAACCAGTGTTGTATCTTGTAGGTGATTGTCAGGCTATGGGAAGTCAGGAGGTGGGTTGCTCACCACAGTATTCCTAGCCACTGACTTGTTCTTGTAGTCACTGTATTTATATAGCTAGTCCAGTTGAATTTCTGATTAATGATAACCCCAGGATGTTGACAGATTCAGTCAAGGTAACATCATCAAATGTCAAGCGAGGTGGTTAGATTGTCTTTTATTGGAATGTCGTCATTATCTGGTATGAAGGTTACCTGCTACTTTTCAAACTTGGATATTGTCCAGGACTAGTTTCATTTTGACATGGACTGCTTCAGGATTTGAGGAGTCACGAATGTGCAATTTTCAGCACTGACCACTAACAAACAACCCTACTTCTGACCTTATCATGAAGAATTGGTCATTGATAAAGCAGCTGAAAGTAGTTGTGTCTAGGACACTACTTTCAGGAGCTCTTGCAGAGATGCCCTGCAGCTGAGATGACTGACCTCCAACAACCACAACCATCTTCCTATGTGCCAGGATGCATCTCCAACCGGGAGAATTCTCTCCCCGGATTCCCATTAATTCCGATCTCGCCAGAGCTCTTTGATAACATATTTAGTCAAATGCAGCCTTGATATCAAGGGCTGTTGCTCCCACCTCACCTCTTAAATTCAGCTCTTTTGTCCATGTTTCAACTAAGGCTGTATGAGGTACGAGTATAATGTAAACCTTTCAAAATTATAAAACCTTCAGTCATCGTGGACACACTTCTGCCACCCCTGTTGGACACCTGAAGTTAAATGCTTTTAGACCAAGCCTATTTTTTCTTAGTCTAGAGTTTTATTTCAACCACACATCATAAAGCAAGAGAAACACTGGCAACACTACTAAAAACAAGAATGAGACCCGAGTGACACCATCTCCACAGACAACAGGCTGAAATTACTGGACCTATGCCTCACGACCCACTTTACATTTAACGGCCAAATATATGAACAGATCAACGGGACACCCATGGGGTCACCTATCTCCGGACTAATAGCAGAAGCAGTGATGCAGAGACTTGAAAGCATAGCCCTTCCACTAATCCAACCGAAACTATGGATCCAATACATGGAAGACACCTTTGTCATCATTAAACGGACCAAACTAGAGACACACCAACTAATAAACAACAATCACACCGGGATCACATTCACCAGGGAAGAGGAAAAGAACAAACAGCTCCCATTCCTGGGTGTCATGGTAGAACACAGGACCAACGGCGAATTCCTGACAAATGTACACAGGAAAGCCACACACACTGACCAAGTTATGAATTTCAACAGCAACCAACCTAACACCCACAAACGAAGTTGCATGAAAACACTATTTAAAATGAGTAACAACAACCTGCAGCAACACAGAACTACGTCAAAAAGAAGAGTACCTCCAAGTATTCAAGGACAACGGATACCCAAACAACTGGGTCAGAAGATGTCTATCACAGGAACAACAACAGGAAGATATTGTACACCCCGACACACTCATCATGCTACTATACATCAGGAACATGTCTGAACTGACCACAAGACTCCTACGACCACTGGGCATCAGTATAGCACACAAACCCACATCAACCCTACGCCAACTGTTAACCCAAACCAAAGACCTGTTACCCACTATAGACAGGACCAATGTTATATACGAGATTCCTTGCAAAGACCGCGACAAACATTACATTGGACAGACAGGAAGAAAATTAGCCACAAGAGTACACGAATACCAACTAGCAACAAAAAGACACAACCAATATTTCACTCACTTCCATCCACATGGATAAGGAAAACCACCAGTTCGATTGGGACAACACCAGGATCCTAGGACAGGCCAACCAGAGACAAGCACGGGAATTCCTAGAGGCCTGGTTCTCCACTAAGAAGGCCATCTACAAATACATTGAGCTAGACCCTATATATACTCCACTGCAAAGGAAAACCAGAAGTGAGGTAATCCATCTTAACGGACACCGGACTATAAATAACAGGCGGGAAAACACAACAGCGCTTCATTGGAGCCTGCACTGATGTTACCCAGCAGGGTAGTGAAACATCTACGAAATAACATACCAGCTTGGCGAGCCAACCAACCACAACATCCATAACCCGTGCTACAAATCTACTCAAAAACCTTAGACACAACATAAAATCTAGCTACCTCCTCAATAACTCTACTTTATATATTTAAATCCTTTATTTTGAAACATATCCTAATAGACTGATTGAGGCAGCAGTGCTAACCATTGGGCCACTGTGCTGCCCATCACCAGGGACCCAGGTTTGATTCCACCCTCGGGCAACTGTCTGTGGGGAGTTTGCACGTCCTCCTAGTGTCTGCGTGGGTGTCCTCCCACAGTCCAAAGATGTGCAGGCTAAGTGGATTGGCCCTGCTAAATGTGGGATTACAGGAAAAGATGGGTCTGGGTGAGATGCTCGGAGGTCAGTGTAGACTTGATGGGCCAAATGGCCTCTTTCTGCACTGTAGGGATTCTATGATTCTAAAGCACACTTCTGGGATAAAGAGGACCTGAACCCACATCTTCTAGCTCAGAGAAAGTGCTACTACCACTGTACCACAAGAATCTTGAACAACTTACAAGCATAACCCATCAGGGGCCCTCTGTTGTTTATTTTCTAAGCAACCTGTGTGCACATATTGTAACATACATATAGACAGATGGGACTTGAACCCCAGCCTTCTGGCTTAGAGATAGGTAACACCAGGCCACAAGAGCCCTATGAGAGCACCTACAATTAAGTAAGTAGTTCACAACATCTGTTTGATTAGTTACCTTTAACCCCTAGGTACTTAGCATTCTTTTAACAGAATTAGATACTAACAACCACCATCACCTACAAGGACGAAGGACAACAGATGTCTGGGAATGCCACTGCCTGCAAATTCCCGTCCAAGCCACTCTCCATTCTGCCTTGGAATATGTCACTGTTCCTTCAGTGTCATGGAGTTAAAATCCTGGAGCTTCTTCCCTAACAGCACTGTGGGTTTACACTACTTGCACTGCAGTGGGTTCAAAAAGGCAGCTCACCACCATCTTCTCCAGGACAATTAGGGATGGGCAGTAAATGCTGGCTGTGCCAGTGATGCCACATCCCACAAAATAAAATGCTGGAACTCCACTGAATTTCATCAGGATTCAGTTTACAGATCATGGATTATTTGCAGTACTGCATTTTAGAGCTTGCAATATTATGGCAACTCTCAGCCTTTAAAGTATGGAATTTTTTGTTTTGGAATACACTCAGACTAAATTAGATTTATTAACCTCCATCTTCACGACAGTCAAGAGGAGGTGACTGCATGGCTGAATATAGCAGCAAACGTTTATTGATGAGCGCAGATGAGAATTTACTAGCATCAAATGCTGAATGGGGTTTGGCCTCATCCTTATTCTGGGCAGTCCCTTGTTCATTAATAGGTAAGAACTACCACAACCGATCAGCAAAAGTATAAGTATTTGTTTTAAAAAAAAAAAGTTAATAATGTAGGTTTACCAAACAGAAGCAGTTTGATTCCAAGCAATCTTTATATGATAACACCATCAAATTACCTTAACGTCTGCTCTCGTCTTGTCAGTTACTTCCATAAGAAATTCACACCGTCTTCCATTTGGTGGATTCAAAAGGTGGCGAAGAATGTTAAGATCAACTGTTGCTCCCAGATTATCAATGTTAGATACAAAAACGTATTCCTTGCCCTCTTGCAGAAAGGTATGCAATAATCCAGAGTTGTAGAAGCTGGCATAGATATCTCCATGACCTGGTGGATACCAGGCCTCAGCATTGTCCCCAGACACAGATAATCCCTTGGCTATAGGGAGCAATGACTCTTTATCAATCCGTGGATACCTGAGGAGTAATTCAGAAAATAAGGGAGAGACAGAAAGCGCGACAGAGAGCACGCAATCTCCTAGAATGTGCAATACCTAAATTTATGAAGCTCATTACTGTACCAGCTATAATTGGGCAAAAAAGTGGAACTATATATTCTGGTTGACAAAACTACAGGTGGAGAGAGGGAGAAATGTAGCTAAAGAAAGCGAGTGTGCAAGCACATACCCTGCTTCCTTGCAAAACTTTCCACAAATAAGAACTGTTTTCAGAAAAGAGACTAACTTTTCTTTGCCACAGGCTTGGAGGCTCTCTTTCAAACTGCCCCACTCTCAGTCTATCACAAAACAGAAAACTAACAGTTCAAAAGTTGTTGCTAAGCAACCTTCCACGATCATGCTACAAACAGGAGGAAAGAAAGGAGGAAAAATTTACCTTTGTTACAGTCACAGGGTATCGCGTGACTTTATCAAGTGCCACATTGGCATGGCAGGGGAGGAAACCAGATTGGAAGGATTTAACCATGGGGTTCCAGGAAATAGAGAGACAAATTGGCAAGGCAACAACATAAACACATTGGAAAGGAAAGGGAGATGGAATGGAAATTTGCAAGGATGTAGGGGCTTTCCAAGCAGGAAAATAAATTAGTAACATCATTTAAAATGGGGGTGGGAAAGATTTAAGGCTAATGGCTTCAGCAAGGATAGCTTCAAGGGAGCAGGTAATGAATCACATGTACAAGATGAGTTTGGAGAGAGCGCAGAGAAACGAGGAAGATAAACGTTTCAGGCTAGGGCAGGATGAAGCTTTAGAGGCAGCTTGACCCAGTAGGCTAGGAGAATGAAGGAAGCTGTCAGGTGTAAATTGGATGTTCTCAATATAAAAAACATACATAACCTGTGCAAGATTAGCTCCTTGTAGTGTGTTTCTACCTGTTGTGCTGAGTTAGAATGGTACAGACTCTGCATTTATACTGTCCCCATTGTAGATTGATGCGAATGTGGAAAAGTAATTAGATGAATTGAAGACAACAAGGTGCAGGGCTGGATGAACACAGCAGGCCAAGCAGCATCATAGGAGCAGAGAGGCTGACGTTTCGGGCCTAGACCCTTCATCAGAAAAGGGGGAGGGGAAGGGGGTTTTGAAATAAATAGGGAGAGAGTGGGAGGCGGATAGAAGAGGGATAGAGGAGAGGAAACAAACAGGTCGAAGAGGCGGGGATGGAGCCAGGAAAGGTGAGTGTAGGTAGGGAGTTAGGAAGGGGATAGGTCA